GAATCTGTGTCCTGTTCCTGTAGTAGTAGCTGACACCTACATCTGCCATCAGGAGGTCAGGAATCTGTGTCCTGTTCCTGTAGTAGAGCTGACACCTACATCTGCCATCAGGAGGTCAGGAATCTGTGTCAGGAGGTCAGGAATCTGTTCCTGTAGTAGAGCCGACACCTACATCTACCATCAGGAGGTCAGGAATCTGTGTTGTTTCTGTAGTAGAGCTGACACCTACATCTACCATCAGGAGGTCAGGAATCTGTGTTGTGTTTCTGTAGTAGAGCTGACACCTACATCTGCCATGAGGAGGTCAGGAATCTGTGTTGTGTTCCTGTAGTAGAGCCGACACCTACATCTGCCATCAGGAGGTCAGGAATCTGTGTTGTTTCTGTAGTAGAGCCGACACCTACATCTGCCATCAGGAGGTCAGGAATCTGTGTTGTGTTCCTGTAGTAGAGCTGACACCTACATCTGCCATCAGGAGGTCAGGAATCTGTGTTGTGTTCCTGTAGTAGAGCGGACACCTACATCTGCCATCAGGAGGTCAGGAATCTGTGTTGTGTTCCTGTAGTAGAACTGACACCTACATCTGCATCATCAGGAGGTCAGGAATCTGTGTTGTGTGTATCTGTAGTAGAGCCGACACCTACATCTGCCATCAGGAGGTCAGGAATCTGTGTTGTGTTCCTGTAGTAGAGCCGACACCTACATCTGCCATCAGGAGGTCAGGAATCTGTGTTGTGTTCCTGTAGTAGAGCTGACACCTACATCTGCCATCAGGAGGTCAGAATCTGTGTTGTGTTCCTGTAGTAGAGCCGACACCTACATCTGCCATCAGGAGGTCAGGAATCTACAGTAGAGCCGACACCTGCCATCAGGAGGTCAGGAATCTGTGTTGTGTTCCTGTAGTAGAGCCGACACCTACATCTGCCATCAGGAGGTCAGGAATCTGTGTTGTGTTCCTGTAGTAGAAGCTGACACCTACATCTGCCATCAGGAGGTCAGGAATCTGTGTTGTGTTCCTGTAGTAGAGACCTACTGACACCTACATCTGCCATCAGGAGGTCAATCTGGTTGTGGTCAGGATCTGCCATCAGGAGGTCAGGAATCTGTGTTGTGTTCTGTAGTAGAGCTGACACCTACATCTGCCATCAGGAGGTCAGGAATCTGTGTTGTGTTCCTGTAGTAGAGCCGACACCTACATCTGCCATCAGGAGGTCAGGAATCTGTGTGTGTTCTGTAGTAGAGCTGACACCTACATCTGCCATCAGGAGGTCAGGAATCTGTGTTGTGTTCCTGTAGTAGAGCCGACACCTACATCTGCCATCAGGAGGTCATCAGGAATCTGTTTGTTGTGTAATAGAATGTGGAGTCTGTGTGTGTTCTCTGTGACAGTCACTGTGTGTGTACTGAGATGTCACTGGCACAGCACTGTTCACTGGCACAGCATTCTCTATTACTAGACAAACACTCCGCTCTCTGTCTCATTGACAATGGGGCAGACAACTCCCTGTAGGCTAATCATGGACACACAGGCTGGTATTTAAGTCCACGGGCTCCTTTGCAGGCTACATGCGGGTTTATGTTCCTTTGTGTGAAGGATTTGATAATGGGGCTTGTAAATTATGACCTGTCATCCCTGCTTAAAGGGAACATATGACATGCACAATCCAACACGGCAAACATGTCTAAACAGACACAGATTAATGTTCTACTCACAGCCCTGTGCAGTGTCTCCAGCACCCACCCATCTGCTGGAAGTGGCTGTCATGTTAGCTGGCAAAATAGAATTCAGAATTTGGATATAAACATAAACTATCATCCAAGTAGAATATCAATTCCTAAAAGAAAAATGATTTGCTTTGTGTGAAGGCTTATTCCATATTTAGAGTTTTATAATTGAAGCTGAACTCTAGACAGATGTAAAAAACACAAATTAAAGTGATTGTACAGTATTTTTTTTATGTAAGTAATATACATGCTATACTCCCCTGCTCTGTGCAATGGTTTGCACAGAGCCATCCTGATCCTCTTCTTCTAGGGTCCCCTGACAGCGCTCTGGGCTCCTTCTCTTCTCTGTGTGCCACCATAGAAAGCCCATTCCTATGGTGGGACATCTGTGGACTTGATCCCGAGCCAAAGCACTGTGTATCCATTGGCACACACAGTGCAGCTTGACCCCGCCCCCCACTCTCTCATAACTGATTTAATTGACAGCAGCAGAAGCCAATGGATCCCTCTGCTCTTACTGAGTCCAGTGAAAAGGGAGAGAGAGCAGCGCCACTGCTTTCAGATACAGCACTCAGGTAATTATTTGGGGGGAGCTGACAATAGAAGGTGTTTTACCTTTAAAGTGGAGTTCCACCTGGAAAAAAAAAAAGGTCAGCAGCTACAAAATACAGACACTTACCTGTCCCTCGGTCCAGCGGTGTCCTCACCACAGCTGGTTTCACCGGCCATCTTATCTCCCCGGCGCCAGCATCTTCAGTGTGGGCACCGGCTGTGACAGCTTGCGGCTTCACAGCCGGGTGCCCACTGCGCATGCACGAGTAGCGCTGCGCTTCATGAATGGCTCCGTAGTCTTCTGGGACCTGTCCTGTGTCCCAAAAGACTACGGGGAGGGAGGGGGGAGGACAACTTCGACTTCTAATCGCCTAGGCGATTGCAGCGGACGTGAGAGCAGGTAAGTGTCAAATTTGGGTACCCCCTCCCCCCTGCTCCCCAAAGGTGCCAATCCTTAATGGGGAGCGGGGGACAAAGGCTTAAAGCGGAACTTCCCATTTTGGGCGGAGCTCCGCTTTAATGCAGTAAGGTAAAAATAACTTTCAGCCTTTATAACCACTTTAATTCAGCTTTGCAATCTTTAATACATCAGTAAACCCCAATTTTGGGAAAAAAATTACCTTCCGAGCACCTCACTCCCACCCTCTGCTCACTAGTTGCTGGGATGGAAAAAAACACTTTATAAATACCCTTTTTTTTATGTGCCTTAAAGGGTTAATTCACCTTTACAGAAAAATATAAAGATGAACTAGCACCAGACACCCTCCCCAACCTGCTGGACCCCACTGTACTTAACTCTGGGGTTGCTGAGCTGTCAGCACCCACACAGCCGCTCCAGTGGTCCAGGGATTTGAAATCCCGCTCTTCTCCCTCTTCTCTGTCAATGCTTCCAGGACAGACCAGACAAATTCTGATTGGTCACCACCATCATTGTGACAGCGCTGACCAGTCAGAATCCATCTGGTCTGTCCTGGAAATACTGATTGTGAAGAGTGGGTAATTCAAATCCCCAGGCGGCTGGAGTGGCTGCAGGGATGCTGACGGCTCGGCAACCCTGGAGGTAAATACAGCCGGGATTGGGAAGGGTGTCCGGTGCTAGTTCACCTTTTTTTTTTTGTAAAGATGAACTAACACTTTAAGCCGTGGTCACATGATCATCCAGTGGCAGGTCCTTTTGTTTATTTTCTGCTGAAGGCCTACTTCTGGGTGTCCACATCAATGCCTGTGTGATGTAGACAACTCCCATTGGCTGTCCACTGGAGATGTCCTCTTAGCATCCAGAAGACCATTGATGTGGACTTGAGGGGAGTCAAGAGGACAGGAGGGCAAGGGTTATTGTGCAGTATTGAATTAGTGGTCCCCGCAGGGGGAGATGTCATCAGCATAGGACCTAAAATATGGGGGCTTAGTCGCACTAGAAAGTTGCACTGAAAATCAGATCAAAATTACATCACAGTAGTGTGAACCTAGCCTAAGGGCTCCATGTACACTGCAGCTCCAAAACTGACGTTCAGGAGATGTTCAGCATTTTTTTCAGCAGCCCCTGAACTCTCTTCGTTTTACAGTCGTTTTTTGTATGCACCGATTGTAATATAAAGTAAAGCCTTTACTTTATATTATGAACTGATTTTATTCACATTATATTATGGATCGATTTTTTCACTTTTTGCACTTTTTGGTGGAAGTGTTATTTATTTATTTATTTTTATTGGTTTTGGATTATTTATATTTCTATATTTTTCATTATTTTGTATCTTGTATAATTATGGGGATAGTATTGCATCCATTAGAGTGCTGTTTATGGTATTTTTTTAGTTATTAATGAAAAAAGTTTGCTTTGTGATCCACAGGATGTGATCTCATGGGAAATCCTGCAACATGCAGTGCATTTTAACCACTTCCAGTCCGGACACTTTTACCCCCTTCCTGCCCAGGCCAATTTTCAGCTTTCAGTGCTACACACTTTGACAATTGCACAGTCCTGCACACTATAACCGTATGAATTTTTTTAGCATTTTTTTAAGTCAGATAAAGCTTTATTTTAGTGGTATTTATTCACCACTGGCATTTTTTTGCTATGTAAATGAAAAAGTCCACAAATTTTGAAAAAAATTGTTTTTCTTATAAAATTTGGCAAATAAATAGTATTTCATCATAAATCTTGGCCAAAATTTATTCTGTTATCTTTTTAGTAAAAAAAAATAACCCAAATTAGTTTTATAACCAGAAACTATAATTTTGAAACTTTTTTTTTTTACATTTTATGTTTTTATTTTTTACGTACTGTCACCCTAGCAGTACCACTTGGGGGGGGTGATGAGTATTTTATTTTTTATTTTTTTTACACTGATTGCTTTTTTTACACCCATAAAGGCTGTAAAAGCAACCATTTCTCCTCTCTGTCTGCATTCTTGCAGCCATTGAGAACTACTGTGTGGGCTGTGATTGGTTATAGCTTGTCACATGGTACAAGGCTGTTGTGAATAGCCTTGTGGCATGTGACCTCTGTAATCATTCACAGATTTCGCACATAGTAAGCAATGATGTCAGAGGTGACATCTTGCTTACTACTATTCATGTGATCACTGTTTGGGCAATCAGTGATCACATGATCGGGACCTTGCACAGAGGTCCCGTCCGATGATCGGTGTTCCTCTGTATCTGGAGGACACAGCGGGCACCGGATCGCAGTGCTGCACGCTCCCAGGGTGCGGGGAGATTGTTTATAAACGGCCACCCGACCCTGCACTGCCACCGCCCGGCCGTTTATATACATGGGCCGGATGGGAAGTGGTTAATGAACAATAAAGCGCGTGTTACCTGCACAAGTCAGCGCATGTTAAAATGTGCATAAAATGGGTGGAATTTTAAATCCGGTTTCCCTGAATTTTATTTCAAGCCCGTGTAAATTCAGCCTAAGGTTTTCGGTATTACATAGAAGTCTATTGCAATATATAGTAAAAGGCTCCTACAAAGTCACAGGCCTCGGAAGTGGTGACATTGCTGAGGTCTTAGGCAATGGTCACATGATGCTCTCTTTTCGATACTATTGGCCAAACTCAGTGTCCCCAGTTTGAAGTGAAACTTCCGGTGAATAGCTGAAGTATGTAATGTGTTCTGATAGTTTACCTGCTAAAAGATTGTAACTCTTCTCAGTTAATGTTGATATTCAGACACTGCGCAGGTGGGAGGATTATTCCACTACTCTGCTGATAGCATAGAGGTGACGACGCAGATTCATTGTCCATCCTGGATGCACTGGTGACACAGGAAATTGCACTGCTGAACCACAAAATAGGGTTGTCACCTGCTAGACTGGGCGGTAGTGTGGTAGATGTGTGTATCACAAGACCAGCTGCACAGAGTAAAAAGTCCATCGGCAGAAAAATGCCTTTCACAACTGTATTCTTGTCTGGAGTTCCAGGGGCTAGCCCTTGTTTCTGCTGTTTGCACGTGGACGTTGTGATTTGTAAGGCTTGCTTTGGATGTGGCATAGCTCTGTGTGGTGTGCCTCATGTGAAATGTCTGCCCGTAGTGTGATCTGATGGTGGGGGACGTTGCCAGGAATATTGCATTACTGCGATCCCTTTGCAGCCTGTTCCCTACCTAATCCACAAGCAGCTGAGATTCCACGGCCAGCCAAATACCAGAGTCTTCTGGGGCTTCCGGGACACTTCAAGTACCAGCTGAGGTTTCAGTGACCCCTTCTCATCAGCTCCTGTACTCGATTACTTCACTAGAAGACTTCGCCCTGCAATGGACCCATTTATTACAGTAGCTGAAAGAAGAGAAGAAAAGGGGGAAAAACAAATCTTGTTTTATTTATGCTTTTGAAAACATTCACATAGGATATGATTTGTTGCTGTGTGTGTCCATTCTGTCTATCCCAACACATTGCTTCTTCTTTGTTTTCCCCTTGTACTTCCATACTCATTATTTCCCTACCATCTGCACTCGCCTTTTTCTTTTTTTCATGTTCTCTTAAGCGTGGCATACATGGACGTTTTTTTGTATTTTTCTTTTCTTGTTCAACCAGCGAGTTGAACAAAAAGAAACTGACAGATCCCCAACATCCATAAAAGAGATATGATACAAGGATCTCCTCTGCCGCACTATTGTTTTCTCACAGCGGGGACTGCTCCTGTACCCAGAGTTGCAGCCATTGGCTGCCAGCGATGATTGAATGCCGGTTTTCCAGCAGGACCATTCAGTAAAAGCCAGTCTAATCGACTTCTGTTGAACAGACTGGTACACGTGTATTGGTATTCGCCCAGTTCCTGCTGAACCAGACTAATTTTGATGTGTATACCCAGCTGTACTCTGCCCCCCCCCCCCTAAATTTATCTCAGTCTCCCCCCAATCTGTTGACATTTTGCATTATTTTCCTGGCTGTCTTTCTTTCTCCCAAATGTTGTCTATTCTCACTTCTTGCCCATCTTTCTCTTCTTTTTCTTTATTTTCATTTTTCTTTTCTTTGCTTCTCTTTTTCTTTGTTTTTTTTTTTTTCTTCCTGCCTTTTCCTGCGCTGCCCCTCTGGGCTCTGCGCGCTGCCCCTCTGGGCTCTGCGCGCTGCCCCCCTCTGGGCTCTGTGCGCGCTGCCCCTCTGGGCTCTGTGCGCTGCCCCTCTTGGCTCTGTGCGCTGCCCCCTGGGCTCTGCGCGCTGCTCTGTGCGCTGCCCCTCTGGGCTCTGCGCGCTGCCCCTCTGGGCTCTGTTGTCTTACTTTATTTTTTTAGCTTCTCTCTCCAAAGTCTTTCTCTCTCGTGCTCTCTCTGATTCTGTTTAATATTTTATGTACCTGGTAGAAAGATGGAAAAATACTGCAAATTTATTTTTTACATTCACATTTCTCCCTGCCCTCAAGGAGCTTACAATCTAAGGTCCCTAACTCACATCCATACATATACATACTAGGGGCCAATGTAGACAGGAGCCAATTCACCTACCAGCATGTCTTTGGAGTGTGGGAGGAAAGCCGCACAAGGGGAAACATGCAAACTCCAGGCAGGTAGTGCCATGGTCAGGATTTGAACTGGTGACCCTAGTGCTAGGTGAAAGTGCTAACCACATAGCCACTATGCTGCCTTTGCACACTATATACAAATGCAGTCTTTGTTACTGGTACAGTAATGATCAAGCCTCTTGACTTTCTGAAAGTCATAAAACAATTGAAAGCCAAGCCTCAGTGCTTATCACAAAGGTTTTATGTGGTCAGTGATAAGATAATATTCAGTGTATGGTGATGTTTGGGTTGGCTCTAAATTCTGATGATGCCGATGAGCTGTGTGTCTGCTGGTCATGTACGATTTACATAATAGCACACACCAAATTTCAGTTTTTCACCATGTCGTCCATGTCATGTAGTAGATATGCCTCATGTCTTCACCTCACTGTATTGTACTTTTCTAATAATCCATCACCTACAATGAAGGAGATAAGTATTTGATCCCCTGCTGATTTTGAATGTTTGCCCACTCACAAATAAATGATCAGTCTAAAAATCGAATGGTCGGTGTATTGTAACACTGAGAGACAGAATAGCAACAAAAAATTCAAAAGAAATGCATGTCTAACAAATGATGCCCACTCACAAAGAATGCCAACAGAGGATTTGCCACCAAGTACTAAGTCATGTTTTGTGAAGGGGATCAAATACGTACTTCCCTCATGAACATGCAAATCAGTCATCATTTGTTAGACATGCATTTCTTTTGAATTTTTTGTTGCTATTCTGTCTCTCTGTGTTACAATACACCTACCATTCGATTTTTAGACCGATCATTTCTTTTTCGAGTGGGAAAACATTCAACATCAGCAGGGGATCAAATACTTATTTCCTTCACTGTACCTCTACTACATGGCACAGAAAAATGGCCATTCTGTGCAGAGTCATGTTGGACTAAATCTTTGCATTTACTGGCACATGTAATTAAAGCCTCGCTGTTTGTCTTCAATTGTGTTGCTCGCTGTAACAACTGGAAAGGAAAAAGAGGATGGATTGCTTGGAAGGAATTACTGAAAGTCTTTCTTACAAACATTTGACATGAGGCCCAAGATGCCGCGATGCATTAACATGTAAGGAAAAGAGGAAGCTAATGTAATTGGGAGCTTTGTGCTGAGAGGTGCTTGTGCATACAGCATCCAATCTGGTCCCCCATCCATCCATCTGACCGAATCGAACGACAGTCTGGTGGAAACGGACAGGCGGTCCACTTCCATCTGACCGTCCCATAAAAAACAACGGGCTGTCTATGTCCGCTCTGCAGCAGCGGAGTGGACACAGACCTGTCATCCGCTTGCTCAGCGGGGAGATCCGTTGATGGGTCTGCCCCATCTGAAAGGGGCCTAGAAGTCGATTAAGGCTTTTTACCAAACAGTACAACTAGCTTACTGTTGCTATGCCATGGATGTCTTTTGTATGATTGTTGGGATGCATTTGTTGTACCAATTAATGTTTTACAGCCCCTTCCTGTGTGATCAGCCCTATAACTTCTCTGTAGTTGGAAGTTGAAGGTAGTCCACTGCCATGTTGGAGATCAGCTACCTACTGTGGTCACCTTCCTGAATTTGCTTGGACTAAAGTCCTGGTGCCCAACCTGACAGCCCTTTGGTGCTTCTTGTGAAGCCCTTGGACCTCAACAGTCTGTTGTGGGGCATTAACTTGTAATGGGGTAATAGCAGTGGTCTCTCTAATAGTAATGGGGTAATGGCAGTGATCTCTAATAGTAATGGGGGGTAATGGCAGTGATCTCTACTAGCAATGGGGTAATGGCAGTGATCTCTACTAGCAATGGGGTAATGGCAGTGATCTCTACTAGCAATGGGGTAATGGCAGTGATCTCTACTAGCAATGGGGTAATGGCAGTGATCTCTACTAGCAATGGGGTAATGGCAGTGATCTCTACTAGCAATGGGGTAATGGCAGTGATCTCTACTAGCAATGGGGTAATGGCAGTGATCTCTACTAGCAATGGGGTAATGGCAGTGATCTCTACTAGCAATGGGGTAATGGCAGTGATCTCTATTAGCAATGGGGTAATGGCAGTGATCTCTACTAGCCTCTGTTCCCATTCTCACTGTCTTCTGCAGCATGTTCCCTGTCTCCAACCAAAGCTGTATTATGTGTACAGTCTGTAACCATCATTTTCTCTAGAATGTCTGCAGTCCTGGATAGTTGGCCTTTGGTGATGTCAGAGGCTGCAGTTGGGGCCTTTTGGACCTCATAAGCAACTCACAACTCGACTAAAGCTTTGTTCGTTTTCCCATCAGATCAGTTGCTTTATATCCTCCTGCTTTGAAAGCTGCTTCTCTGCTTTGAAAGCTGCTGGTTTATAGCACAGATGCAGCTGAAAACGTTGGAGCCTTTTCTGCAGCTGGCATACAGATGTTTCAGGCCATCATCCGTACAAGATATTGACCCCATTGCTTCTGTGGAATAAGCCTGAAGAGCAATAGGACACTATATCCGTCTGGGTGTCGGTGACGTGGCTAGCATTTTTGTCATTTAAGCAGAACTACGGCTAAATGTAATTTAAGTACATATACTATATTTTAGCTGTGCTGCGTCTAGATGTAAAAACCTGCAGCCATGTACTAAAGCCCTAATTCTGTTCGGCAAGTCTTAACCACTTGCCGTCCGGCCGTAGTATATAAATGGCCGGACGGTGGCAGTCCAGGGGCGGGTTGCCGTTCATAAATGGCGCCCGCCATTTTGGACTGTGTGTGCTGCCTAGGAGCGCGCGCAGCACCACGATCCGGTGCCCACTGTGTCCTCCGGACACAGTGGAACACTGATCATCGTACGGCACCTCTGTACGAGGTCCCGATCATGTGATCACTGATTGGCCAATCAGTGATCACATGAAGAGTAATAAGCAATGATGTCACTTCTGACATCATTGCTTACTACATGTGAAATCTGTGAATGATCACAGAGGTCACATGGTACAATGCTATTCACAACAGCCTTGTACCATGTGACAAGCTGTGACCAATCACAGCTCACACAGTATTTCTCAATGGCTGCAAGAATGCAGCCAGAGAGAAGGAGAAATGATTGTTTTTTACAGCCTTTATGGGTGTAAAAGCAATCAGTGTGAGAAAAAAAAATTTTTTTTTCATCATCCCCCACAAGTAGTACAGTGTGACCATGGTGACACTGTACTGCTAGGGTGACAGTATGTAAAAAAAAAAAAAAAAAAGTAAAACATTTTTTTTTATTTTTGGTTATAAACTTTTTTTTTTTTTTTTTTTACTAAAAAGATAACTGAATACATTTTGGCCGGGATTTATGATAAAATATTATTTATTTGCAATATTTTATAAGAAAAACACTTTTTTCTAAATTTTTGGACTTTTTCATTTATATAGCAAAAAAAAATAAAAATCCCAGTGGTGAGTAAATACCACTGAAATAAATCTTTATCTGTCTCAAAAAAAATGCTAAAAAACTCATAGGGTACAGTGTTGTATGACCGCGCAATTGTCATTCAAAGTGTGATAGCGCTGAAAGCTGAAAATTGGCCTGGACAGGAAGGGGGTAAAAGTGTCCGGACTGGAAGTGGTTCACAGATTCACTACACCCATTGTATAGCTAAAAGTTAACACCTTTGTTTCGATCATCTCACATCCATCTGCTCACTTAATATATGGTTGAAATCCTCTTTTCTGCAGCCTAAACAACTTGTCCCCCCCCAAATGTAAACACCCTGTGCCGTTCAGTCTCTTCTCCATTTAGCTAAGATTATTATTATTATTATACAGTATTTATAAAGCACCAATAGTTCGCTCAGCGCTGTACATTACAAAGGGGGACAGAACATGTGACAGAACAACAACAATACAATGCAAAACATGAGGGGATCGAGGGCCCTGCTCTTTGGAGCTTACAATCTAGGAGGGAGGGGATGGTGGCACAGGAGGAGATAGCTGTGGGTGATGGAGTGGTAGGAAGAGTGGAGGAGGTCGGCAAGTTAGCAGGGGGTGGGGTAGGCCTCCCTGAAGAGATGGGTTTTCAGGGTGCGCCTAAAGGAGAGGAGAGTAGGTGATAATCTGATGGGTTGGGGCAGGGAGTTCCAGAGGATGGGTGACACCCTGGAGAAGTCCTGGAGGCGGGCATGGGAGGAGGAGACCAGGAAACTAGAGAGAAGGAGGTCTTGTGAGGAGCGGGAGTGTGCGTGTTGGGTGGTACTTGGATATTAGGTCAGTGATGTAGTTCGGGGCAGTATGGTGGACGGCTTTGTACATCAGTGTTAGGATTTTGAATTTGATCCGTTGCGCAATCGGAAGCCAGTGGAGGGATTGGCAGAGAGGGGTGGCTGAGATGGAGCGGTTGGAAAGGTGAATGAGTCTGGCAGCCGTATTCAGGATCGACTGAAGTGGGGATAGCCAGCGGCGAGGCAGGCCAGTGAGGAAGGGAGTTAGATCAAATGTAGAATCTGTTTATCATTGTCCAGTAGGGATTTTCCACCATCATTCTGGCCTTCTGGTTGGAATGACCGGCTGTATAGTATCTCTCCTAGTGTGATTGGGAACCTGGGGCAATCTTTCTCATATGAAAGGAACCAAGTTGAGTGCCTCCTGGGTAAGGTGCAGGTAAGGAGTATTTCCCTGGTGTGGTGGATTCTGAGGGCCAAGTGCTTTCTGATTGGAGCAATGCTACCTAGCCTGACTGAGGGCTGGGAAGTCAGAGAGCCCGTGGTGTCAAATGGTGTCTATGGGTTGGGGACTCCACTGTGAGAATGAGCACTAGGCCACAATACTACCTGCTTTTATCTGCACCCTCAACTCATGGGCTAGGCATTTTATCCAAGGCCAGGACAATTTTTGTTACCAGACTGCAAGGCCTAGCCCTTGTACTGCAGATTGGCATTTTTATTTATTTTTCAAGTTTGTCACTGCAATAATTTTTGTCCTTTCTTTCACAAACAGGAGGGTAGGGTTCGGCTTTTCAGGCATACCTTGAAATCTAAGGGTGATGTGTGGCCCTGAGGTTCCTTCTTCCCCTGTTTGGGGGGGGGGGGGGTCTCTCTTCAGGAGAGCCCCTAATCTAGTATTCAGCAGTCGGCTTCAGCTGATTACAAGGAGAGGGGTTGACTCGGCCTCCGGCCCCCTTCCGCAGCTCTCACGGGCTCTCCCATATCCCACCAGGAGATCTAAGTGACCAGCCAGCACTTCCGCTGACTGACTATGGCATAGGAAAGCAGAAGTGATTTATCTTTCATTGCTTCCAGTTTTGCCAGATATAAATAACACCATTTTTTAATTGAGAAAGCGTCTGATCACACTGATCTTGGTGTGATCAGATGCTTTTAAAGGCAGTGAATACATCTGGGGTGTAATAGACCTCAGATCTCTCCACAAAGAGTACCTGTCACTGTTTATTGCTATCACAGGCTTATTCATACCATATACATTGATTTAATCAAATTTAAAGCCACAGTGTACAAAAAAAAAGAAAAAAAAATTCTAAAGTGCCCCCGTCCTCCTGTACTCTCTCAAAGGTGACCGCATTGTGTTGGTCCCCCCACATGTGCAAACAGTGATCGTCCCACACATGTGAGGTATTACCACGAATGTCAGATTGAGGGCAGTAATTCTAGCACCAGACCTGTGTAAATCTAAAATGGTGACCTGTAAAGGCTTTTAAAGCCTCGCCTATGGATAATAAAATGTACCTTGTTTATCGCTGTTGCAGTGGCGTGCTCAATTTTAAAGCATGACATGTTTGCTATCGATTTACTATGTGTAAAATCACATTAAATCCTACCAAACAATTGGGTGTTCATTGATTTTTTTTTGTGTTTTTGTGTAGTAAAATTTCAAAAAAGTGTCAATCTAAAAAAAAATGCGTTTGAAAAACCGCTGCGCATATACCGTGTGACACAAAAAATGACAACACCCATGTTTTTTATTTTCTAGGGCCTCTACATTAAAAAAAAATATAATATTTGGGGGTTCTAAGTGATTTTCTAGCAAAAAAATACTTATTTTTACATGTAAACGAAAAGTGTCCGAAAAGGCTTGGTCTTCAAGTGGTGAAGGTTCACACTACTACACTGATAGCCCCTCCTCCTCTCCGCCTTGTTCAATCAGAGCGTGTCTTGTCTTGGTTAAAAAAAAAATGACCAATAATTTCATGGAAGGTGGTGGTGCTGAGCCAATGACCCCTTGTGGTGGAGCAGCCACTCAAACAGGATCTGGAAGATCGCTACGATCGATGTAGTAGCACCAACTACTACAGTGGTTTCCAATTTCCTCAACCGTCTATCAAGTATGCATATCTACATTGGTCCAAGCTAGGATTATTGGAAGTATACAGGTAATTCCTGGAGTTCAGCTTTCATGACTATAATAACCGCAGATTGAGACTATTATAAATTTTTTACTGCCCCAGCCTGCCAATGGCATGACAGAGTTGGCATTGTGCGGTAGCCATTTTCCCTGCAACCAGTCTTCCAGCTCATCTTTTATATGTATAAACAGGTTGTTGAAGTGGGAGAATATAATTGTTTGCCTCTGTGGTCTGTATATTCTTTACATTTTGAACAGGAGAGTTGGGGGTGGGGGAAACTGACTTTTTGTTATATTTTTATTAGAATTGAATATATAACTGGGCTGCACAATGTGTTTTTTTTTTTTTTTTTTTTGCTTTTGTTTGCTTTTGTTTGTTTTTTTTTTTTTTTTTTTTTTTTGCTTTTGTGTTTTTGGTTTGTTTTTTTTTGCCATAAAGTCTGCTTTAAATACTGTTTTTTTCATTTATTGTTCATGTGAGTCTCCTGAAGTAGAAATGTATTTTAAGTGTGTTTCCTGGAATTGGTTGAGTAACCAGCATATTATGTGTGTTTTGTTTCCAGGCTAGAAATCTACAGACGGGAGAGCTGGCTGCAGTGAAGATTATTAAGCTGGAGCCTGGTGAGTCGACGCTGCTGTATTTTGCACGCTTTCCCGTGAATGGTTAATGTGTCGCTGCGCAGAGTTTCGTTATCCTGTGTCTTCAGCACGCTCGTGGTTTCCTTGCAGGAAGTGTTCAAACAGCTGCGAGACATCAATCTTGTGAAAGCACCACGGGGTTAAAGCCAAGAGCTTTTTGCTTTTAATTTGTTACCTATCATTACCTTATTTTTCACCAATGGGCCTAATGAGCTAAATTATTATTATTCTACAGGATTTATATATTATTATTATACAGGATTTTATGGCGCCAACAGTTTGCTCAGCGCTTTACAATATAATGGGGGAGACAATACAGCAACAATACAGTTCAATACAAGAGGGAAAGGAGGGCCCTGATCCTTGGAGCTTACAATCTAGGAATGCTTTTAATATGTAGAATAACCAAGCAACATTTGCAGATTTAACCTTTCACTTCCAGCTTTAAGTCCCATGTGTTTGGAGAACAGTCACTGCAGGTCCAGGCCAAATTTGCATTACTTAAGTTCAGAGTGTCTGTGTCTGTACTGTGCAACAAGGGCTGAGAGAGAGGAAGTTTTCCTGTTTGATTCAATGTGGTCTGTCTAGGGAGGCACTTTACTGCTCTGCACTCCATGTAATCACTGAAGACCACAGACTGCTAGAAGCAGACGGCACCTACAAAGGTGTATCCTGCCCTGCATCCCATTTGATTACTGACTTCCTAGTGTGGAGAGCACTTCTATAGAGATCCCTAATATCTTCCTTGCCCTCTGTTCTTGTCCACAGACATGTACTTTACACACTGTAGCTATATTTATAACATAGTTTCTCTGCATAATATGCATGTATGTTGCTACACAATCATGAAATCATTGCAATTTGCAATGTACAGTTAATTTATGTATTGTATAGCAGCATAAAAAAACATAATTTATGGCACAAGCCAGTGAAGACATTGACTCATGCAGGTATGCTGAGCGTATGTCTTATCTTCTCTCTTAGTCCAGACAGGGTCAGTCAGGCAGTCAGGATAGCTCTCAAAGCCCATGGAAAGGCCAGATGTAATAAAGCAGGCTATACATGGGTCAAAATTCAAAGGTTTTTTTTTGATCGAATATATTGTTTGTTCTGTAATCCAATGGTGCCACCAATGATTTCGAAAATCGGTTGTTTTTCACGAATTTCCAGCATGTTTTTGGCCCGATAAACAGAATGGGGAGGAACCAGGAAAATCGTCCGGTGCCATTGCTCCACTAACAGAGCAAAAATCGGCTGATTATTCTTAGTTCCGATTTTAGGTCGAATCATTCGGAAATTGACCCATGTATGGCCAGCCTTAGTCTATTTTTTTTATAGTGCATGGTGTCAATGGAGAAAGTGAACCTTTCTCCTATGTTCTACCCGTGATATGTTTTCTATGTATTCTTTTTTTTTGGGGGGGGGGGGGGGGACATTGCATCCTATGGTGCCCGTTCACACATGCCTGGTGCACTGGCGGTGCCAATTCAGTGCAGTTTGAAAAAGAGTCATGTCCTCTTTCAGAGCAGTGCAGTTCAGTTGCAGATTACAGGCTATTGACTTATATGGAAACTGTTTCTAAACCTCATATGTGTGAACAGGATAATCCTGCGAGCTAATTCTGTCCTGATTTGATAAATAATATTGTGGCGCCTGTGTATCTGTATATACAAACAATAAATGTATCCCCCGCAGTACGCCAGCAGTGTAGATTGACCGCTGCTCCTAAAAAGTGAAAACCACTTAAACATAAACAAACGTGACTAGGTAGGTACTAAACCAATCGTGCAATAAAATTTACAAACAAATCAACTCTGCATCTTATAGCAGATAATACCAAATCAAATGTAATATTACATATTCCCACATAACCTCTAATCCAGTGTTTCTTAACCTTGTTTCAGTCAAGGCACCCTTTAAAAAGATGGACAGTCCCGGGGCACCCTTTAAAAAGATGGACAGTCCCGGGGCACCCTTTAAAAAGATGGACAGTCCCGGGGCACCCTTTAAAAAGATGGACAGTCCCGGGGCACCCTTTAAAAAGATGGACAGTCCCGGGGCACCCTTTAAAAAGATGGACAGTCCCGGGGCACCCTTTAAAAAGATGGACAGTCCCGGGGCACCCTTTAAAAAGATGGACAGTCCCGGGGCACCCTTTAAAATGATGGACAGTCCCGGGGCACCCTTTAAAATGATGGACAGTCCCGGGGCACCCTTTAAAAATGATGGACAGTCCCGGGGCACCCTTTAAAATGATGGACAGTCCCGGGGCACCCTTTAAAATGATGGACAGTCCCGGGGCACCCTTTAAAATGATGGACAGTCCCGGGGCACCCTTTAAAAATGATGGACAGTCCCGGGGCACCCTTTAAAATGATGGACAGTCCCGGGGCACCCTTTAAAATGATGGACAGTCCCGGGGCACCCTTTAAAATGATGGACAGTCCCGGGGCACCCTTTAAAATGATGGACAGTCCCGGGGCACCCTTTAAAATGATGGACAGTCCCGGGGCACCCTTTAAAATGATGGACAAACCCTTTAAAAAGATGGACAGTCCCGGGGCACCCTTTAAAAAGATGGACAGTCCCGGGGCACCCTTTAAAAAGATGGACAGTCCCGGGGCACCCATGGACAGTCCCGGGGCACCCTTTAAAAAGATGGACAGTCCCCGGGGCACCCTTTAAAAAGATGGACAGTCCCGGGGCACCCTTTAAAAAGATGGACAGTCCCGGGGCACCCTTTAAAAAATGGACAGTCCCGGGGCACCCTTTAAAAAGATGGACAGTCCCATGGACAGTCCCGGGGCACCCTTTAAAAAGATGGACAGTCCCGGGGCACCCTTTTAAAAAGATGGACAGTCCCGGGGCACCCTTTAAAAAGATGGACAGTCCCGGGGCACCCTTTAAAAAGATGGACAGTCCCGGGGCACCCTTTAAAAAGATGGACAGTCCCGGGGCACCCTTTAAAAAGATGGACAGTCCCGGGGCACCCTTTAAAAATGATGGACAGTCCCGGGGCACCCTTTAAAATGATGGACAGTCCCGGGGCACCCTTTAAAAAGATGGTCCCGGGGCACCCTTTAAAATGATGGACAGTCTTGAGGCACCCCATTCTAAAATGTAATTCTAATAGTTTTATAAAATGCTGCAACATCCACACATGTAGGACACCCAACATTAGAGGTGATTTATTCTTCCAAAGCACACTTTTGCTCGTTGGTACTGACTGGTATTTCAATGTTTCTCCTCTCCCTCAGTTTTTATCCATCAGCTAATGTGACCCCAGCACTGATGGAGAGGGGCAGGGGAGGGTCAAACTAGGATGCTGTGCAGGTAACTGACATTGTCTTTATCAACCGATGATGTCATTGGTTGTCAGGACGCCGGCGGCTAGAAGGTCATAATGGTGCACAATGAAAACCTGTGGCTTTGTGTAATTAAATGGCAGGCTTGCTCCACCCGCTGGCTTGTATACAAGTTTTGGGCAATTTTTAGACATTTTGCCAGGGTACCCCTGAAGGAACCTCAAGGCACCCCAGGGTGCCTTAGCACCCTGTTGAGAGAGGCTGATCTAGTCAATATTAAACATCTGACAATTTTATATACGTGACATATAGTGATCACAATATATGTATATATGTAGTGACAGTCCCATATAAATGTGTTTGTTGTAGACCAAAATCTGTGCGCTTTCACCACATGCAGACGAAATCGGTGAATTTCTCACTCACCAGAGATGGTTGACCCTAATTAAAGTGGTCAAATGCTGCATTGTTATAAGAATAGCAGACCAACAGCAGGCTCTCCTGGGATATCCCTTTCTTTCATCAGCACATCATAGGTATTGCCCCCAGTTGGATATTTGACAAGATTCCAGATATAGCCGTAGTGAATGGGCTCTTAGTGCCAGGCTCTCCTTACCATGGAGGTGATACTCCAAGCAGCTCAAATAAATCAAATAGGTTAAGCGTTCTAAGTGTAATATTTATTGAAACTGCATAGTAAATACAGGCGTACCTCAGTTTATGAATTTAATGCAATCTCTGGGACGTTTCGTTTCCTCTCCTGCACATTCTGCCCTTTGCCAAAACTTCCAAACTCCTCTCCCACACATACTGCTCTATGGCAGACCATCTGCACTCCTGTTCCATGCATACTGCCCCATGCCATTCCATACTCCTTTCTGCACATACTGCCCCATGCCAGACCTTCAATACTCCTCTCTGCACATACTGCTCTGTGGGACCATTTGCACTCCTCTCCTACACTCACTGCTCCATCCCAGACCTTCCATACTTCTCTCCTACACATACTGCCCCTTTTTTCAGACCCCCTTGCTCTCCTCTACTGAACATACCACCTCATGCCAAACCTTCAATACTCCTCTCTGCACATACTGCTCTGTCAGACCATCTGCACTTCTCTCCCACACATACTGGCCCATGCCAGACCTCCAGTGCTCCTCTTTGCACATACTGCCCCATGCCAGACTTTCAGTACTCCTTTCTGCACATACTGCTCCATGCCAGACCTTCAATACTCCTTTCTGCACATACTGCTCCATGCCAGACCGTCAATACTCTTCTTTGCACATTCTGCTCCATGCCAGACCTTCAGTACTCATTTCTGCACATACTGCCCCATGCCAGACCTTCAGTACTCCTTTCTGCACATACTGCCCCATGCCAGACCGTCAATACTCTTCTTTGCACATACTGCCCCATGCCAGACCTTCAGTACTCCTTTCTGCACATACTGCCCCATGCCAGACCTTCAGTACTCCTCTCTGCACATACTACCCCATGTCAGACCCTTTGCACTCCTCTCCTACACATACTACTCCATGTCAGACCCTTTGCACTCTCTCTCCTACACATACTACCCCATGTCAGACCCTTTGCACTCTTCTCCTACACATACTGCCCCATGTCAGACCCTTTGCACTCCTCTCCTACACATACTGCCCCACGTCAGACCATTTGCACTCCTCTCCTACACATACTGCCCCACGTCAGACCATTTGCACTCCTCTCCTACACATACTGCCCCATGTCAGACCATTTGCACTCCTCTCCTACACATACTGCCCCATGTCAGACCATTTGCACTCCTCTCCTACACATACTGCCCCATGCCAGACCTTCCACACTCCTCTGTTTTCCACACTACTTGCTGTCATACATTCCGCACTTCCCTCCTGTACATACTATCCCACGTCAGACCTCCACACTCCTCTCCGGCACATATTGCCTATAAAACACTACTCTGAGACTTTTCGCAATCTCCCCAACCTTGCTAGTTCTGGAATGGGCACACGTCTGCTAGTGTGACTAATGCTGAAGCATAGGTCACATTGCTCTGGGGACTGGGGAGTGATACTTCACATGTTCCTGTAGAGTGATATTTTTGTTATATTTCCTTAATTCTGGCTTCCTCTTAAAAAAAAAAAAAAAAAAAAAAAAAAAAGACTGATTTCTGCTCAGATGAGTGGAGTGTGCTGTGTACTTTGACCGCAGTCCCTTGTGTGAGAACTGTCACCTGTGTGTGCTCAGGAAGGCAGCCTATTGTTTCATGTTGTTGATTCTTCACCATTGTACCCTTCAGTGGTCACATTTTCAGTCAAGTCAGTTTTGCAATTTGTGTTTTACATGTAAGTTCAATATTTCATGTTGGCTGTTCCTGTACTAAACAACCTGCCATCGGCAATTCAGGTACAACTAAAGGCATCATTCTGGATAGAATAAGGGAGGGTTCCTACCCCTGTAGGTTTATTTTTGCCATCTATGTCCCGTTAACCTCCTCGGCGGTCTGATTATTTCAGATTTTTTTTTTTTTGTGCTGAAAGCGGTACATTTTTTTGCATGGAAATATGTAGTTTTTTTTTATTGTAGGCTGTAATTTTTAGGAGTCCGGGGAGACCGGATATAATGAATGCGGGGTCCGGGGAGACAGATATAGTTAATCCGGGGATAGTTAATTCCGGGTCCGGGGAGACCGGATATAGTGAATGCAGGGTCCGGGGAGACCGGATAATAGACCGGGAATTCCGGGTCCGGGGAGACCGGATATAGGGAATTCCCGGGGAGGGTCCGGGGGGAGACCGGATATAGGGAATTCCGGGTCCGGGGAGACCGGATATAGGGAATTCCGGGTCCGGGGAGACCGGATATAGGGAATTCCGGGTCCGGGGAGACCGGATATAGGGAATGCGAAAAATCGGTTGTTCAATAGGCCGACGCTACCACCAACGGTTAAAAAAAAAAATCGGCCGATTTTCGTCCCGTCTACGGCCGGCATTTAATTACTTCTGTCCCTGCAGAGAGCTCCGCTATTATATTTGACATTAAAAAGTATAGCGGTTGCAACAATGTATCCATTTCAGATACAGATCGTTTTATATGGATACATTGTTGCAACCGCTATACTTTTTAATGTCAAATATAATAGCAGACTGGAATTCTTCTTCCTCTTCTTCCCGATTTTAGTCCCATCTATGGCCTGCATAAGTGTTAGACCCTTAGGGCTCGCTCACACTTGGCTGTTTTACCAACGCTTGCCAAACGCCCCTATAGCGTTTGGCAAGCGTTGGTCCGGCGTTTGCAGAGCGTTTTTTTAACGCTCGGCAAACGCCGCATGCGCGGTTTAGCGGTGGTTGCTAGGCGTTTGCCGAGCGTTAACGCCCCACAAACGCCTATAATGCAGTTTAAATGGTGTTACCGCTCCTCAAACGCCCCGCAACCGCGTCGCCACCGCAAACGCCGGCCGGGCGTTTGTGGAGCGGCACCATACACGAGAATAGGAGGCTTCAACGCCTCCTGACTCGACCAGAGGCGTCCGTTTTGACGCAACGCGACGCAAACGCTCCCGTTAGAACAGCACCATGTGCTGTAATGTGCAGAATTGGCAAAGGCGTTTGGGAAGCAGTAAAAACGCTTCCCAAACGCCTCTCTGCCGCCTGCACACAACGCTAGTGTGAACGTAGCCTGACATCTGTTCTAAGCTTCACTTCCGACATCCATGTTTAAAGCGGACACCTCGGTGACCACTGGGGGTCGGTTACAAAGTGGAATTAGGAACAGATTGGTGGACAGAAAAGACTTTTCTGGTTAGCAGTAGACAAGACATTTATATTTACAATTTTCTATGGCTGACCAATTTCTGCCTTGGGCCCCTTTCACGCGGGCTTTCCGATCGGGGGCACCTCGGTTTGTCAGGTTGACCTGATTGGTAGCTCTACGCAGCTCTGTGTGTGGTTGGATGTAAACTGACTTGTGTCCGTCTACATCAGCCTAACCTCCCCCCTCCTCTTTCACTTTTGGATACTTTTGTTTTGGGGGGGGGGGGGGGGGGGGGGGAGGCTGGTTTTGACAGGCACCCACTTCCACTTCTGGTCGAAATTTCGTGGTGATCCAAGCGGAACTTTGTTTTCCCACCCTTTGCCCACACTTCACAGGTCCCGGGAGGCTGTGGGACCGTTCACAAAACGCAGTGCGGCTCACACGTGTGCAGTGAGAAGCTGGCTGTGAAGCTGCAAGTAGTTCCAGCTGGCTTCCCTTAATGAACATGCAGGGGACCTGAAGAGCTGGCCGGGTGAGGATGGCGCTGGATCCCTGTACAGGTAAGTGTCCTTAAAAAAAAAAAAAAAAAGTCAGCAGCTTTAGTAATTGTAGTTGCTGACGGTTACATTTTTTTTGGGGGGTGGGGGGGCTGCAGAACCGCTTTAATAGCCACTATAGACATGCTGATTGCCTGTGTATGTGTCTGTCTGGTGATCCTTGTAGAGCTGCAACAGAGAGAGAACCTGTGCAATGTAAGGTAGAGATAAAGCAGGGGTCGGTTCACGGACCTTCACACTGTTGGGGGGGGTCGGTTCACGGACCTTCACACTGTTGGGGGGTCGGTTCACGGACCTTCACACTGTTGGGGGGGTCGGCTCACGGACCTTCACACTGTTGGGGGGTCGGTTCACGGACCTTCACACTGTTG